GAGCTTCCCTACAGAGAGGTTCACTTGCAAGAACAGAACTCTGGCTAATAGCCAACAAAGAACTGGGGCCAACAACCTGCAAGGATCTAAACAATCACATTGAGAGCAGATGTGAGGTGGATTCTCTCTCAGCAGAGCCTTGCAATGACTGTAGCCCCTGCCAACAACTGTACTGCTATCTGAATACAGACACTGGGCAAGAGTTGTTGACAAAGGTGGGCCTGGAGCCTTGGTCCCTAAAAACTGAGATAACAAATGCCTGTTAACCTATGTTTTGGAGTGATTTATTACACAGCAATAAATAATACATTCATCGTCCTAATTACAATCATCAAGTTTACCTTTTTGTTTTAGAAGGAAAAGAGGGGTGAGGATGATGGTGGCACCTATTATCGTGCTTTCTTTAAATAAGAAATTTACAAATTGCTACATGAGAAAAAATCCTAATGTAGGGGTATTTTCATAATTAAAGTGATGAGGAACACACTAAAGTCTGCCTATGTAAGGATACATGACATCTAAAAGAGAACAACTTATTCTGCCAAGGGGGATTTTCCTCCAATGCTAATAAACTAGGATTAAAAATACATATTCAGGGCTAGCAGCATGACTTAAATGGTAGAGTGCTTGCCTAGCAAAGTGTGAGGCCCTGAGTTCAAACCTCAGTATTGCAAAAGAAAATTAAAAAAAGAATGTCATTTTCCCCCAGTACCACTATATATATATACATATATATGTGTGTATATATATATATACATATATATATGTGTACATATATACATATACATACATATATATGTGTGTATATATATATACATACATATATATATGTGTATATATATATATGTGTATATATATATATATATGTATGTATATACATACCCACCCATATACATACATACATATAATTTTTTTCAAGGGCTGGGGACAACAGCCTACAAGGATCTAAACAGCCACATTGAGAGCAGTGGATTCTTTCCCAGTAGAGCCTTGCACCTTGCAGTAATTACTGTAGCTCAGTAGTAGGGCACCTGGCTAGCATGCACCAGGCCCCTGGGTCTAATCCCCAGCAAAGAAAAAAAAAAAAAAAAAGCCTATGTTCATATACATATATGTCTAAATACATATGTTCAAAAATTATCTGAGGAAGAACATGAATAATTTACAGAAGTGTATAAAGCATCTGATACAAACCAAAGTAAATTTTTTTTTTCAGCCAAGGTCTCACTTTGTAACTCAGGCTGGTCTGGAACTTGCTAAGTATCCCAGGATACCCTCAAACTTGGATCCCCTGCCTCAGTCTCCCAAGTGCTAGGATCATAGTTTACAAATACCCAGTTTACAAATCAATTTTAAAATGTGCTTTTCAAAGCATTTTTTTTAGCTATTTGTCAAAAAATATTATTAACACTTTACTACTACCAATGGGATGCTGCGATAAGTATAGGATGTTACAGCTTCCAGGAGTTCACAAGAGACAAAACAAACAAGTACTTTAGACAGACAGGAATGTGTTTACAGTGAAACCAAAATATACCAAATGTCATTGATCATTTTGGTCTGGAAGCCAGTTCAAATCAATAAAGACATACTGGTTTGGTAAAAATGGAATGTTTAGGCACTAAAAAGTGCTCAGTAGGAAATAAAAATTAAGAAAATATTTTACCAATATTTTGTAGCAGTATTTTTCAAAATAGCAATTGGCCCACTTTTTATTTTAAAAATTATGACTATATAAAAAACTAAATTAACATTCCTATACTAAATTATGCTCATAAGAGGATTTAAGAATTAATCCATAACCTTTGTAGAACACCATGAAAGGAAACTGTCCACTGCCCATAATAATGCCAACAGTTTTCATTTGTGACATGTTAAAAAAAAAAATTAAGTACCTTAGCATAATAAAGCAGACCATTCTCTGATGCCTACCAAACTTCAAGTCTCTTTGTCACCACTGAAACTGAAGGAAAACCTGAATAAAACTGCCATCTTTCACTAGCTTTTTTACCTATTTTAGAGGTCATCTAGCTAAATAGTGTACTCCCATTAATTTGCTACAGATAACATCTATGACTATGGGCCAGGTGGCAGACATTGTCTACATTTTTCCAAGAACTTGGAGGAATCTCAAATCCACTGAAACCAGCAGCCCTTCCCAGAACCTGCACAAACATCTAATGCATCTAAGTCTTTTGATTTCATGCTAACACCACCATTTTCTGAATGGGTGTCCCGTGAAGAGTCATGAAGTTGATCACATATGCACATTTCCCCTATTACTGCACATTTCCCTATTTCCAATCACCTTTCCCCATGCCTCCAACAACACTTTCTTTATTCCATAAATACCCTTAAACCTTAGTCTCCGAAAGGCAGATTTGAGACGTGTTCTCCCATCTCCACATTGGGAAAAAGGGAACTCTTTTCCAAAATTCATTCAGTGAGTGGCACACTGTGTTTGTACAAAATGTGCCTGGCTCTTACCCAAACCCTAAGCTATAACCAATTACTTATTGTTGTCAAGATCCACTACTACTCTGTGCTTCTCTCTACCTTTGTGTACCTATTATGTCTTTCTGGAACAGAATACCTCTGTCATTTTTGTTTGTAAAATTCCTAATTGCTGCTGAAGGCTCTACTTTACTATCATCTCCACCGGGAAGCTGCCCATGATCACATATCTACCCTCTATTACTCTAGTATGAATTAGGCTCTTAACTTCTGCGCTCTTTGGTAGTTCTCTATAAATCTCACAGTACACTGTAGATCCCTGATATTCATGGATGTATTGTCTGAAAAGCTCTGTGCTCCAAAGCTGGAACATTCAGATACCTAGTATCTCACTGAGGCACTAACATGAACATGCGTTCCACAAGACTGGCTGGCAGGAAGAAGGAAGTCTACTGGAAAGGGTCTCAACTGAGAACCCAGGACTGAGATCTCAGAAGTCATCCCTTAACAAAACTTGTTTCCTTCTCTTTGCTGCATCAATATTTCTCAAATTTTAAGTGATCCAAAGATAACTGCCACAAATACATAATTACACATAAAAAGACACAAAAAAAACACCCTCTACAAGATGCACTTGATTATTATTCTATTCTCCCTACTCCTTTCAAGTTGTTTGTAACCTCTGAAGAGATTTCATAACTAATGAGTTGTGACCCAAATCTGAAAAAAAAGGGGGGGAGAGGTAAGGGGGGGCATAATGTTCTAGTCACTCATAAAAGTGATTAAAAATTTTATTTTATGAAACATGGGCCCTAAGAGAAATACAGCCATCAATATTGGATATGGGAGTGGATAAGTGTTTCTTAACATGAATATTAAGAAACATTAATATGTAAGACAAGATCTGTATCAAAAACAAAGGGCCTTATGAATGTCTTTAGCTGTATATTTGGCCTCATTAAGGATCTAAAGCAATCAGTTAAGTTTTTCAGTTATATCTGAGTACTTCATGAAGCAAATGTATGCTGTGGTGGTATTGATGAATTTGGAGATTCAGCAGTGTCAGGACCATTCCCTGAGTGTTAAGGATTGAAGCTCTCAGGTAATTGTTTGACTGTAAGTTGTTTACCTCACAGTGCCTGGCTCAGAGGCCTCTGTAAACACTTGCCATATTGGGGGCTGGGATAGGCTTTACTTCAAGAGTGATCAGGGGAACAAAAATTAGAAAAAAAATCAGTCTTCACCCATCTTATTATAATGAATATAATAAACTCTACTGTAGACAGAAAAAGACACTCATACATCAGTGATAAAATGTGAATTGCTAAAGCCTTTATGGACAGTTATATGAAAAACAGTTATTAGAATTTAAGATGCACACATCCCTTTGCAGCAGTAACCTCACAAATGAAATCTCTCCCACAGAAATGAAAGCATTAGTACCTAAAAACTAGAACTAGATGTTTACTGCAACACTATTAGTAGGAAGAAAGCACTTATTTCTAAAGCAATTATAAATGCTTTAGAAACATAACAGGAAACTTGCAAGGATTTCTATTATACTTGTAAGTTAGAAAAGCAAAAAGAATGCAATCCAATACGGCTCCATTTTATTTTTTAAAAAGTAAGGATGTTTGTACATGATTATAAGAGCATGGAGAAAGACACAAGGAAAAACACAAGGTTCAGAGGTGTACCACTCGCCCCATATACACATTGTCAACAATAAAAATATCCTGCATGTTCTAGTTCCTTTCATATTTAATGTGGACACTGGAAGGATATACTCAAAGCAGTTGTCCCTCTGTCTACTCTTCTTGCTGTACACTACCTGACAATCTAATTCATCTCAAAGGCTTCAATTACCACCTAAAGGTGGTAACAGTGAACACACACCCCGCTATGGGCCTACAGGAAATCCCCGAGTGGACATTCCACAGAAGCCTAGAACACAGTTACATCTCACACTAAACTACTTTTCTTCCCTTGCTGGGACTAGCCAGTGAACTGGCACTAATCAGCCGGAGCGAGGTGCCGCAGCTGTGACGTCACTGCCGGGTGGATTAGAAGTGAACAAATTCCGGTCTCCAATGCTTCAGTGTTGGAGAAAATTAAGAAAGAGACACTGCACAGGTCCAAGGCACTTAAAAAATGTCACTATTCTCTCCACAAAGTCTTGCAGTCACTGCAGGAGTCCGGTCCCCAAGGTCCCCAGGCGCGGCCTTCCGCCTCTGGAGCCGACGCCACACCGAGGCGCCAACCCTCAGCCCGAGGGCAAAGCCAAGGCAAGGGTCGCTCCAGCCCTATCTGCAGATAACTAACGCCTCGCCGCACCCCGAAAACCCAGAAAGAACCCCTAAAGGGTCCGCCGCAAGCCAAGTAATTCCACTAACTTCACACCTCTATTAAAACCTAAGACCGTCGAGTCCCTCGCTGAGAGCACACGAGACGCCGGGGCGGGGATTCCGGGGGTATGAGGGGGTCGTAACCGGCTCCACATCCGCGCACCACATGGTCTACTCTCCTCCAGTTCTTCCGGGCCTTACCTGGGATCCGGTACTTGCCTGCAAGTCTGCTGCAGTGGTTTTCCAATACTCTTGCCTTGGGGCGAGGCTAACCCTAGCCCCGAGAAAGAACCGGTAGGAAAGTGCTCGGGCGCAAGACGCACAGGGAGCCGCCATGTTAGCTGAGGGAGACCCCAGCGGGGGAGGCGAGGGGGCGGGGCCTGGGAACCGCGCAGGCGCGGAGCGGCGCCGGCTTCGGGACGCTGTCGGAGCAAGGGCTTTCTGGGCCGTAGGAATAGGGGGCGTGTCCCGAGGGCGTCGACAGCTCGCCGCTGATTCGGTGTGTGGCGCTCGCGGGGCGTGTCTTGCTCCACCTCGCGGGCGGTGCCGAGCGGGAGTAGGCGGGCTGGCGGGCATTTCTGTTCTGTCACGCGCGGTTTGGGTTCTGTCGCACTCGATCCTCCCTAGTGTTGACTTCCACGTGGGTCTCTGCCCACCGCTGCCTCTCGAGCCGGCTCTCGGGAACCGTAGCCCGGCGGTCGGGGACCCTGCGCAGCCTCCGCACCTCCCTCGGTTCGCGCTGTGAGTTCACTCCACGCCTAGGTTCCTGTCGTCCTGTCTTCCTAGATGGGCTTTCTCCACCCTTTCTTGTTTTCAGGATCCAGGTCAGGCTTCCAGCTAGTGTCAAACCTCTCTAGCTTCCCTGGCACGCACTCTTACCTTGCGTCTTCACTGCGTGACTCAGGCCGAGGACAAACACTGCCCTCCTCACCTTTGCACGTCTCTCCCCAGAGCATCCCTACGAAGGCTTACTCGAAACCCTTCGGAACTGAGTAGCTGTTGAGTTCAGATGAATACATCTTGGTTTCGGACACGTGTCTGCTCTTGACAGTAACTCCCAGTTGATAGCTACCGAATATGAATTAAATTATGCTGTAACCACTCTAGGGCTCACGCCTGTAATCCCAGCTACGCAGGAGGCGAGATGATGGGAGGATCAACGTTAGTGAGACCTTATCTTAAAAACAAGTCAGGCTGGTGATACTCGTCTGCAATCCCAGCTACCCGGAAGGCAAAGGTAGGAGGATGGAGGTCTGAGATGTCTGAGGCCTGTCAGGAAATAGACATTCTGCCTGAACAATAGCTCAAGATAGGGTGTGGCTTAAGTGGTGGGATGCTAAAGGCACTGAGTTCAAACCCCAGTACCACCAAATAAACCACTCTAAAAGGGTTTCGAAACATTTAGATTTGAAGGATCAGTAAAATTAATATGCACCTATACACACACATACAGAAAATCTGAGATCATACAAGGTGATCAAGGACATGTTGACATCTCACAAAACAATATTTGAACATTAGAACAGTAGAAATGGCATACTTTCAGAAAAAATAACAGTCCTTTAAAAATGGAATGTGTGGGGCAGTATGAAAAGCTTGCCCTGTGTTTTCCTCCTTGTTTACTATCTTTTAGATCAGTGAAAATTTCATCAAAAATTGGCAGAGATCCATGAACTAGCATTTGAGAATCAAGACTTCCATAGTTCACGAAAATAGATGCCTTTAAATAGCATTTCCTACACACTGCAAATTTTAAAAAACAAAACCAAACCATGAAACATTAACAGTGGAAATAGAAAACAATTGAGTAAGTTTATGGCAGCAGAATTTATACCATTAAAACTGGTTTATGTTGAAGCATGTAGTAACACTGAAATTAGGGTTGGGAGTTGTGGAGGATTTTTTTGTTTTTGTTTTTGTTTTTTGTATTTTTAAAAATGTCATAGTCTTCTGTTAGAATGCAGCAAAATAAATGTAATACATTTCCCACCTCTTGGGGCAACACTTGTACAAACTACTGTGTTAAATTTACTGTGTAGCCTTTGAATTTGGGGACAAATACACTGTACTGGTTGATACTGGGTACATAATTTGGAGACAGAAATATTGGAAATGTGCTGACAAACATTTAAAATATCAAGAAATATGAACTTTACCAAATGGCTAACACTTAATTTCTTTCATTTTTCCTTCATTTATTGAGCACCTATTATGTCATAAGCATCAGCCATCATAGGTACCAAAAGTGTAAAATGTTAGGGTCATATACAATGTGAGGTTTGGTTCCAAAGTCAACTTGTAAGGCAAACATTAAGAAAGTCAAATTGTTGGACTAACAGCAAGTGTTGTTGAGATAGGAGAATCGTTAGATGCTGCTGGTAGGAGCATAAATTGGTACAGTTCTCATGAAATGAACCAAATGATCAGTGACTACTGAAGTTAAGGTGAGCATCCCCAACAATGCTAGGTATGTATACCCTGCAGAAATTCTTGTATCCTGCATCAAGAGAGATGTATGAGAATGTTCATAGCAATACTTTTTGTAACCACAAAAATAAACTATCGATAGGAAAAGAATGACTAAGAGAGTACCATACAGCAATGACAACCAAGGAGCCATAACTACACATATGAATATGGATGAGTTTCACCAGATGGAGCAAAAAATAAGAAGCACATATGCATACATATAACATGACTCCACTTTCATAAACAAGCAAAATTGAGCAAGATATTGTTCAAGGGTTTAATCCCTACATAGTGAAACCAAAAAGAAAAGCAAGAAAATGATAATACAAAATTCAGGGGAGTAAATATCCCTGAGAGGAAGGCAAGTGTTGGCGTGAGCAGGATACATGGGAAGCCAAGTCTCCTGGCAACATTCTCTATCTGAAGATGAGTGTTGGGTTCCTAGATGTTCACTTTTTTGTTATTTGTGAAACTCTACATTTGTGCTATATATACACAGTCGAACTTTCAAAAAAAAAAAATCTAAACACATGTTACATGTAACCTCGGTACACAGAACATCAAAGCAGAGCTGCTCTGTTGAAGCAAATGCTGTGGGGCCTGGGGCTGCTTCCTTAGGCCCCAGGTCTCCTACAATCTGGCTTTCACTGCCACCTCAGGCTGAGCCCTCATTCAACATTTAACCTTGCACACCTATTCTTCAGCTACAGCTCCTGCTTCCCGCCAGCTTGTGAAGTCCATGCTGGAGGATTCAAGACCTCAATTCTCATGCAGATGCAGTCCTAGGGGGTGGGCCAGTCAGCCAGGCCTGCATTTGCCTGCTCCTCCAGTCACATCTCAGCTGCTACTTTAGGAGAGACCCTGAGCCAGAACTAGGAACCTCAGGCTCTTGGACTAAGAGATAAATTAATACTGTGTTAAGCCACTGAAGTGTGAGGCAATTTGTTATGCAGCAATAGATAACTCCATAAAAAAATAATTATCAATGGGAGTTTGCTAGAAATGCAGTATTCTGGGTCTATCAAATTTCTTGTAACCGAGGCTATGTGGCCTTATAGCATAAAGTCTCTTGCAAAACAATTCAAGAGGTTTTTATGAGTCATTTAATAGTCGGTCATATTTCATTACATTTAACCTGTTGGCCTTTCCATCTTCTTCATCTGGCAAAATTCATATATGGTTATGATGATGATGATAAAAATACACACCTTAAACTTTACATTTTAACCTTTTTAAATGTATAATTCAGTGGCATTAAGTATGCTTTCATTGTTTTGCAGCCATCTTCACTGTCCCTTCCAGAACATTTTCATCCTCCCAAACTGAAGCTTTGTACCCACTGAATACCAACTTCTCATCCCTTCCTTCCACAGCTCCTCAAACACACCATTCTTTCTGTCTCTGTGAATCTATTTTAGGAAACTCATATCAGTGAAACCATGCCATAGGTTCATGGCTGTCATATTTCACCCAGCACAGTGTCCTCAAGGTTCATCCATGCTGTAGCATGTGTCAGAATTTCTTTCTTTAAAAGCTGAATAATTGTATGTATATACTACATTTTGTTTACCCATTGATCCATTGATCCATTGATGGACACTTGGGTTTTGCTGCCTTTTGCTATTGTGAATAATTCTGTTATGACCATAGATATATAAATGGAAGTTCGAGTCCCTGCTTTTAATTCTTTTGGGCACCTAGAAATGGAACTTCAGGATTCTTTTTTTTTTTTTTTTTAATGTGGCCAGATTTTTAACTTAATGCCCTAGGCAGGTGCCCATAAATGAAAATTTGTATTAAAACTAAAACTTGAAAAATCTGTGATTATCTAGACCACTCCCTGCTAAATAAATAGTATATGTGGAGGAAGAAAATGAGCAATGTAAATTTTAGTGAAAAGGTAAAATATTTAGGAAATAATTTCAGTATATAATTGTTATATATCAAGCTCCTATAACAGTTTAAAAATGAGCTAGGATGTCAGCCTAGTAAGTATATTCTTCAAGATGCATACATTTTACCACATTAATTGAATTTTAATAAATAACACATAGAACAAGTACCTTCTTTTGATTATTTTCACTGTGTTCAGTGTGGACCAAACCCATCTGCATACACTCTTTACCTATGAGCTGTCAACTATGTTTGCTACAAAAGAGACAACACACTTCGGGAGCTGTCAGTCAATGCTGTTGTGATGCTTCAAGCCTCATTTCTCCAGGCATAGTTATCAAAAATAAAGCAAATTTACATGGAACATGAAAGTGGATCAATCACATCATTTGCTGTGCACTGAAAATATCTTCAGACAGGCACAGGTTCAGGGACAATGTGCTTAGGGCCAGTGATTCCTTGACTATGCCTGCAATTTCTTTGCACAGATTTTTGTCATTAAAAAAAATTGCATTTAGGGCATTTGCCTAGCATGCAGAAGGTCCTGGGTTTCATTCCCAACCCCCATCACCGCCAAAATACCTGTAGGCAATAGGGAGATAGGATTAAAAGCATTTTCCCTATTTGAAATAATAAGATGTGTCAAAAATACTCTGTGACATTGAGAGGGTCTTTCTATTCTTTCCTTTCCTTTCTCTTTCTTTGTTTTTTTGCACACCAACCTGATGGGGATCAAACCCAGGGCCTATGTATGCTACCACTGAACTACATGTCCAGCCCCAAAGGAGATTTCTTTCATCTGTGTCATGAGCATGGACTTGGACTTGATATAGGATCTTCTGTGAAGGACACTGAGTGGAAGTAAAGAAGACCTAGCAAAATAGAAGTAAATGACCAAGGCTATAGACTGAGTAGGTTAAAGATACTAGGACTTTCTGAATAAAAGCCAATGAATATGAAGAATGGATATAATTGAGATCAATAA